CTTATTAAATTACGTATTTGATATATCTGTTATTGAATCTTATTATTCCCGAAATCTATAACTTAACCGAATCGGCCAAAAAATCATTCGGCTAATTTTTATCAGGTGTTTCGAATTATGATAATAGCTGTAAGTGAAAATTGTTCTGAGCCGATTTTACCATAATGTGGGCCAAAATATTGAAGATCCTCGGCCGTTAGCCAATCAAGATCGAGGATCTGCCGTGACAATTTTGCGGGTGATAATGTGAATCCGATTATTAGCTTTAAAATTCTTGTTATGTTTTTGTTATAAAATTGTATTTTTTCGAAGAATAAGTGAAATTTCTCAAAAATAAAAAGCGTAACATTGTAGGCCTTAACTAAGACTACAAATTTACGCATCCATTTTTGCGAATCTCCCAAACGGTTATCGAGAAGTTACAGTATTGGACGTCTTTAGATGATTTGCTACCATATAATATATCAATAAATATTAAAGATATAATTTAATTTCAATATCTTTGTTTGATAATTAACATTAATTAAATAGATTAGTAGCATGATACATATCAAAGTTTAAAATGCATATTAATTTACGCAATTGTTGCTAATCTTTTAAGATTCAAGAAATTTTTTTAATGTAATTATTTATTGAAAAGATCCATTTAGATGAAAAGGAATGTATAGAAATATATTATCTTGCTACTTATATAAAAAAAAAACGATGAATATAAGGCATTTATTATTAGTAATAATCTTCTGATGTGAATTTTTAGTTTCTATCTACAATACTAATGTCAAGAACCTCGTAATACAAAAGATTTACTGAATTAGACAGATATAATAGTGAAAGTATTTCTGATAGTATTTGGCTGGTCGTCCTTTCAATTACATTTCTGTGTTTACCAGTTATTGGATGTGCCGTTGTAAACTGTAATTTAAAGGGATCTGTGCTTAGATGTGCAGCAACACGTTTAGCAACCTTTACAGATATAAAAGACACATAATCAATTAGTTAAAAATTCATATGGAAAATTATACGAGATGATACAGTCAACTCCTGCAATAGTAACATCCGCATTTGTCATAATCAGTGTTTAAAATTCGAAGCTAAAATGACTTACACAATTGCAAGTAAAAAAAAAATTTTTTTACGTGCACAAATATAGTTTTTTGTAAAAAAATAAATATCATATGAACTTTATTTATCTTTTTTTAAAAAATTTACTTGCATATGTGCATCTTGTACGAACAAGCAAATTTTAAATGTGCTATATATGAAATTAATTTCACAAATATCGGCAATTTAACACCAATTTGATCAATAGCGACTTCATTTCGTCACTCTTGTTTACATTATCTAATAACGAGTATGTGACCATTGAGGGAGTTGACTCATCATCTACCATTCGTAATTAGATTTAAAATAATCTAAACGCACGCACATCATCA